CTCCTGGGATATTTTCTGTAGTGTCCTGCATGTTTCTGTTCTGTTGTCTCCCACTCCCTGCACCCTACTGCTCAGTATCTGTGGTAGGGGGCAGACAAACCTGGCATGTTTAAAGCACACTAAGGACCATGTAGCTTAGCCTCACCACAGCCACAAATTAGAAAACTATGGGAAGGAGCCCTACATGTGTTTAGAGGTCCTCCACATAAGGGGATAGCCTAATTGGCTAGCTCATAGTCCCACTACCTTCATACCATGCATGTATTTAATAAATGAGAGGGTTTGTGTGAACCTTTCTTATATAAGGTCAGTAGACGGATGGATTTCAGTGACATCAGTATGCTGATAACCAGCTATTATCCTTTTTCTCTGAATCAGATTCTGCGGTCTCAGTAATTACACAGTGTGACTGCAGTTGAGGACTGATAACAAGCAAACTAATTCAAGATGTATCCATCCAAAGACATAATGATGAACATAGGAGAGGGGAGCAATTGGGTTTCCATCACTATCAGTGGAGTTTAGCCCTTCCCACCTTCCATCATCTATAAAGGTAAAGGGACCCTGACAGTTAGGTCCAGTCGTGGATGACTCTGGGGTTGCGGCACTCCTCTTGCTTTACTAGCAGAGGGAGCCGACGTTTGTCCACAGACAGTTTTTCCGGGTCATGTGGCCAGCATGACTGAGCCGCTTCTGGCGAACCAGAGGAGCGCACAGAAACGCTGTTTACCTTCCCGCCGGAGCGGTACCTATTTCTCTACTTGCACTTTGACGTGCTTTTGAACTGCTAGGTTGGCAGGAGCAGGAACCGAGCAACGGGAGCTCACCCCATCACAGGGATTCGAACCGCCGAACTTCTGATCAGCAAGCCCTAGGTTTTGTGGTTTAACCTACAGCGCCACCCGCGTCCATCCCAACGTCTCCATCGTCTATAGATGATGGCTTTATGACCTATTCTGGATAGGATTTCCATAATTGGGGGGGGGGGCAATTTTATCAAGCAGTTGCCCTGAAATGCTTCTGGATCTATAGCTGAGCTGCAGGAACAGAAGAGGAGCAAAATCACTTGTTCCCAGAAACAAAATATTATAGTCTTGAGTGCTTGGAAAGTGCAGCATTCCCACAATAGAAGTGCAACCTAGAGCAGTGGTTCCCAATTATCTAATTACTGAAGACCCCCTATTTTTCAAAAGCCATGCCACAGACCCCCTAGTTTTGTAAATTTGGATAACTCCATGGTAGTTACCTCTGCAAAGCAATTTTTTAAAAAACAACATGTGGGGTAGCCCCTCATAAGCAAAGGATTTTAGGTATACTAAAAAAAGACCATACAATTTGTGATATTACTATGCAAAAATGACAAAAAAAATTGAGGGTTGAGGGTGAGGCAAAGAATGGAGCCACAAACCCCCTGGGTGCATTCTGTGGACCCCTAATTGGGAACCACTGACCCAGGGGAAAGGCACTAATATCTCAGCCAGCAAATGAGTAACAGCCATGCAATTGTAAAACATTGCTTGCAGAGGTCCCCACCATACCAATGCTGTGTAGCATTTATGGAAAAATCTCTGTTTCTCAGCAGCAGCCTTACAGCCCCAGAGTAGGGACAATGTGAGCCCTGAAGGATGAGGAGCAAATTTCCAGCATTCATTGTTCCAGTGTGGAGGGATCTGAATGAGCTCCTCATCTTTCAGGAGAAATCATCAGATAATTTATCTTTCTTCTCCAATCTAGTGCTATCTGGAAATTTTTGAATACAATTCCCATCATCCCTGACCATGTTCCAAGCTGGTTGGGGATGATGGGAGCTGTAATCCACAACATATGGAGGGCAGCAGGTTAGGGAAGACTACTATAGTTCAGTAGGATGAGTGGCCGCTTAGCCAGAGCTAAGGAAGTCATAAGTGAGTCACCAGCCAACTCACAATGAGAGCTGAATGATCCCACAATGTCATTCTACCTATTTTCTCCAAATACAACACCAAGCCAGCAGCTGAAAAAGGCCATGGTGCCTCCATTTGCAAAAGCTTCCATGGGTGGAGGTTTGTTTGGAGAAGGCAATAGGCTTCCCATGAGAATGGCTTTACTCCGGTTGTCGGGATAATAGCTCATAAAACTGCACATTACATGTTTATATTATTGGCTTCCTGAGGGAAATCAGCATTTTTCTGGGGATAGGGATGAAGTTGATCACATGCACAAATAAGAACAATTAATTTAACAGCAGGCAGGCAGCACAGCAGGAAATGGCAAGGCAATTGGACACACAAGACAGTGGTTCAAGTCCCACCCTGGGTAATTGGGGGGGGGGGCACCTGCAGGAGCACAGGAATATTTTACTGAGCCCAATATGCTTTGAATATAAATCCTCCTTCGGGGGTACTATACAATACAGTGGTACCTTGGGTTAAGAACTTAATTCGTTCTGGAGGTCCGTTCTTAACCTGAAACTATTCTTAACCTGAAGCACCACTTTAGCTAATGGGGGCTCCTGCTGCCGCCGCGCCGCCGGAGCACAATTTCTGTTCTCATCCTGAGGTAAAGTTCTTAACCCGAGGTAATATTTCTGGGTTAGCGGAGTCTGTAACCTGAAGCATCTGTAACCTGAAGCGTATGTAACCCGAGGTACCACTGTACATAGAATACAAAACTATACTGTATCATAATCTAGGTTTGATCTTTGCCTATGATCTGACAGGAAAAAAGACTGGGAAAAGGACAAATGCGCACACTTGGTGTTTTCTTAGGCTAAAGTCCTAAAGACACTTACCCCTAGAACTTGAACACAAAGGGACTTACATAAACATACAAAGGAAGGTATTGTAAGAAGTGGAAGACCTGGACTGAAATGTGTGTATATGATTTTTGTTGATCTTGCTGATGTACAGAGCGATACTAAGCTTTTTTTTACTGTGCTGTACTGTGTTCAGTGCAATTTAATCCCAAGAAAGTGTACATATAAACCTGCAACCTTAAAAATGTTAATTTGATATCTTCAAAATACATATTCATAAATCACACTAGTTGGATTGCATATTTGGAGTATTTTAATTTCAGTGTACACTAATTATTATGGCTATTGGTCTGTTAACAAATGTTTTGTGACATTAATTTGCACAAAAATTCATCTAAATTGGAGAGTCTATAGAATCATTGATTGTCAATGCACGCTGGCAATCTTCCAAGAGGATTCCACGAATCCAATATGCCTGGTATAGCCAGAGAATATTTTTCTTGGTTGTGATACTATCCGCCCACAACAGTTTTAATCCAGTACAGTGGTACCTCGGGTTACATACACTTCAGGTTACAGACGCTTCAGGTTACAGTACCACTGTACTGAAGTAAGAATTCAAGTACTGTCTTTTCAGTATCAGGCAAACTTCTTTTACCTGTGCTTTCAATGCCCAGTACAGTGGTACCTCGGGTTAAGTACTTAATTTGTTCTGGAGGTCCGTTCTTAACCTGAAACTATTCTTAACCTGAGGTACCACTTTAGCTAATGGGGCCTCCCGCTGCACCACCGCCACTCGATTTCTGTTCTCATCCTGAAGCAAAGTTCTTAACTCAAGGTACTATTTCTGAGTTAGCGGAGTCTGTAACCTGAAGCGTCTGTAACCCGAGGTACCACTGTATTCCAAATTGCTGGTTCTTCCTGAATGCTTTCCCCTCTATTAACTTAAAGTCACATATTTCTAATGGTTTTTATTTTCCTCACATCATCCAGCTTCTCACATTTTGTAGAGAAGCAGATGGCTTCAAAACTGGTATTCCCCCACTCACCCAACAGAAAAGTATTGCCATAAATGAGCTTTAGCGGGAGAATCCATTATACCCCTTCCAAAATTGGGTGGGGTGATTGTGGGGAGAAAGACTACATGGTTGCTTTGGGAGGGCAGGATGTTCAAACCATCGAGATTGTCATAATATAATTTTATTATTCAAAATGTTACAGACCTAGAATTTGAGATTATGAAAAATATCTTTGACAGCGTGTTCAGGGAGGTAAGAGATAGGCTGGAAATCAAACATATTCAACACTAGAAATTGGCACAGTCCAAGTTTATAAATGTCAGCAAAGTAATGCAGAATAAAGGAGCACGGCAATGATCTGTGCATTGCGTGGATCGCACAAAGAACTCATGCTGTCAGGCTCTCACACAATGGAACTACAGTTCCCACAATCCACCGCGAAGGAAAGCCTTCCGGCCCAGTGCAAGTACACTTTCGGAAGAGTAACAGAAACATCACGTTAGGGATATAAAATGATTAGCAGACGGATCCCTTCAACTTCCGGGTTCGAATCACGCTTTGTTAAATGATGAAAACTAAGATTTTACTTTGTGACTCAGGCTACCTCCAACTTGGGATAACAATACTGGGTGTAACATGAAATGGGGTTATATGCTATCTTGCAATATTCTGAATTCGCAGTAGACAGAAAGACATATAATACAACTCTTCCCTTGTCTCCCGAGATAGACGGATGGCCGACCAACCTAACGGGGCTATAAAGAATTATCCGCTGTAGCCGGACTCTAACCTGCCGTGTTTAGAAGGATCTTCATTGCACGGATGTTGAAAGCCAAGCTCTCCTATCCGCACCTCTGCAGTATATCTAATGCACTACATTTTCGTTGGAATTTGAATCGTCAGGAGTATATTTTTAACAAGGTAGAACAATATTTAAATGCACTCCCCCCCTTTTTTTTAAGGATGAACTCCTCTCTTGACTGCCCTGTTCTCTTTGGGAGTGGACGCGCCAAGGCAGAATCGCGCAGCTACCTTAAAGCTTTGATTTCTCACTTCCGCCCCGAGGCCATGTACTGTATATAGTATTTGATTTATCGGAAACACGAAACGACACGTTCGAGCAGCGCGATGGTCCCCTCTACCCTTTCTATCTCCCACTGAAACTCCGGGCGAGCCAACTGGAGGAGGGCTTTCCTTTCCCTCGCCAAGAAACTCGGTTTCCCAGCATGCTTCGCTTCGCGTCCCGAGCATGCGCTTTGCCGCCTGCGCTGTCGCTTTGCTTTGGCATTGACTGAGGCGGCGGCGGCGGCGCGCGGGCGCTCGCCATGGAGTCCTACGATGTGATCGCGAACCAGCCGGTGGTGATTGATAACGTGAGTCCGGCCCTGACTGGGCCCCTCTGTGCTGTGGCCCCCTGAGGAGGTGGGGGCGGGGGAGTTCTGCCGCGATTCCTGCGGGCTGCCGGGGCCTTGGACTCCCCCCCTGCAAGCCCTTCGGAGCCCCCTCCTCTTCCCAGGAGGCTCCCCCTTCCTTTTCACCCGGTCCTTCGTGCACCATCACCTGCTTCCCGAAGCTGGTCCTTCTGGTCTCCCTTTCGATGACCCAGCCCGGGTTCCCATTGGCTGCTTCCTCTGCCAGTCAGTCGCTGGGCGGTGCATCGCGAAGAACAACAGAGCCTTAATAAAGGGGTAGTTCACGCCCTTTGGGCTTCTTCGTCCTCTGATTGGCTCCTTATGTTGCTACTCGCTTGGTTTTACCCACTCAAGCCTTCAGGACCCCAAGCTTGCCCCGCCTTTTTGAAGTTCATTGGCTATTATTGAAGATTAGACTGTGCTAGTTGGTCTTCTTGACCCTTAAATTTCGCCTGGTTTGTTATGATTGGTTAGTGATGGAGAAATGAGTATGTGGTCTGGTGATGTTCTTAAGAGTGTAGCCTCCTGTGATGCCTCAGTTGTGGGTCCTGCTTTCCTCTGGAAGCCAATGTCCATTCTCCCAGCAGGCATTTCTGCAGGTGGAAAGCAGTGTTAGATGCTGCCTCTAAAGGTAAAGGTAAAGGTACCCCTGCCCGTACGGGCCAGTCTTGACAGACTCTAGGGTTGTGCGCCCATCTCACTCAAGAGGCCAGGGGCCAGCACTGTCTGGAGACACTTCCGGGTCACGTGGCCAGCGTGACAAAGTTGCATCTGGCTAGCCAGAGCCGCACACGGAAACGCCATTTACCTTCCCGCTAGAAAGCGGTCCCTATTTATCTACTTGCACCCGGGTGTGCTTTCGAACTGCTAGGTTGGCAGGCGCTGGGACCGAGCAACAGGAGTGCACCCCGCCGCGGGGATTCGAACCGCCGACCTTTCAATCGGCAAGCCCTAGGCGCTGAGGCTTTTACCCACAGCGCCACCCACGTCCCTAGATGCTGCCTCTAGTTCTGTATTAAGAACAGTGCTTCCCAGAATGCTTTGAAAAACCACCGGTTACATATTCTTTCGACATCTTTCTCATGGGCCTTTATTCAAACAATAACTCTAAAGGTCTGGCAGGGGTGATAAAACAGGCTGACTCCTCAGCAACTTTGAGGGTTTTATGAAATAAATAACAATAAACTACTAAAATGAGTAATATTCCTTTTATTCTCCTTAATCACGCTGCCTCTGCTGGCCTTTACACTTCTCATTTAGAAGCATGAGCTTGTATCACCCACCCACACACCCAGAGAGGCTTCAGTGCTTTTTCTTCATTCTGTTTGGCCTTAAGCAGTACAGTGAATTTTTCTGCACTTTCATTGCCTGTTTGCTAGTATGAGGGCTTAATCTGCCAATTTAAATATGTATATAAAGCTTCCTCTGAAATCTCTGGAAATGGAATCCTTTCTTACTAATGTTCTGCATTAATGGACTTTGTAGAGGTGCATGCTAGGTAGCTTGTTAAAACTGACATTATTTCTCTCCTGTATCCAGTGTCTCCTAAATATTTAAATAGCTAATAGATGAGAGCATCTTCAGAAGGCACATGACACAGCAACCTTGCTGAAGCTAAGCACGTGTTGTCTTAGTCAGTGCCTGGATGGAGATTTTTGGGGTAATTTACACATACCACCTCAGGGGCAGAGAGTGTGATATATTAAATAAAAGATCATTTGGCTTGTAAGCTTAGTATTTTCCCCAGACCCCCCCCCCCCGCACAAAAAAACACTACCACCATGCTAAGGAATCTCTTAAGGATACTGTGCTGCTAATGCTATTGAGGGACAGAAGAGCAGTAAATTAAAACTGTTCAGAAATCAGGAAATTTAATCTATGGAAGGTTTAGGGATGGAAGAGGATTTTTGTTCACTCCACCAAAACCTTCCCACCCATTTGATGGATCATGATCATAACACAGACATGTGGATTAGTTTGCAAGGATAATTTACTCCAATTTAACTTAAAAACAACAACAGGATGGTCCAAGGGCTTCTCCGGTTCTTTTCTTTTTTAACCATTGGAGCAAGTAGAAATGGTTTTTAAAGTAAATAAGCAAGGGATACCTTCAGACTACCTTGTAACTGCTCCATAATTTATTTATTTTTAAATTGAAAGGTGTGCAGATTTACTTAGGATTTTGCCTTAAAAATTGAATGGATCTAGGACAGAACAGATGTACTGGTCTACTTGCATGCAAGAAACATGAACTGAATTAAGACCGTTCTGTACATTTCCATCTGGAAGGAAGAATCTCTGGTCTTCCCACTGTTCCTGGACTCCAATTCCCATCAGTCCCAGCCAGCATATCCAGTGGTTAGGGAGGATGGGAGTTGTAACTGGGCAACATCTGGAGAGCCACTGGTTCTGCATCTCTGATCTACATTTTCTGAAGTGCTTTGCATTCTGTTTTTCCAAGGGACTTGCAAAAGCAGATGTTGCCCAGATACGTGCAATAATTCTGTATTCTGTTAAGTTACTAGGACATAGGATCTTTGGCTTCAATGTATAAGTCATACATCTGGTTTTATCCGCTGCATTATTTCTGTTTCTTGAATGCACTCTGCAACTTGACTGGACTGGATGAGAAGAGTGGAAACAGGATTTGCTCCCTCTGGTGGTCACTTACAACATTGACATTCCAAACACATTTACAGTACTATCATGGAATTTCTGGGGTGTTTTGCCATTGTTTGCACAGATTGGGATGGTTACAGATAAATCACTTGTGCTACATTTAGGCTGATGCACTGTTTGGTTTATTTTTACCAGAAATGTTACAGGAACTGAAGCACCTTACAATAATGGTCTGTTTTTCTATAATTGTCTTCAATTCTTTTCTGCTCCACAGGGCTCTGGCATGATTAAAGCTGGCTTTGCAGGTGATCAGATACCCAAGTACTGCTTTCCAAACTAGTAAGTAGCTTGGTGCACAATTCTGGATTATATTAGTGAGGCTCCATGAATTCCATATTAAGTGCAGTGCCCATTGTGGAGAAGAGTAGGTCTAGGGTTCTACACTGGCTCTGGGACTTGAAACCACAAGCTTCTCAGATCTGCCCTGACTGGCCTAATACAGGGGTGTGGTGGAGCAGAATTCCTTAATACTAAGGGCTTTGAGATTCTCTGTAATAGCTGCTTGTGGGTTTTGTATCACTGGATATTCTTTTCAACTACAAACCAACCTTAAGTCCTCAACTCATTACTATATTATTTCTGTACTGAGATTTGCATATGACACATCGCCCAAGGCTGTTCAAGTACTACTTCTTAATCAGTGGTTCTAGGATGGTCTCTCAGCAGTAAACTGAGGAATAAATTGTACTGTTCAATCTATTCCTTGTGTTGTGAGATTATTTTTTCCACTATGTCTTACAGCGTGGGCAGACCAAAGCATGTTCGGGTTATGGCTGGAGCTTTGGAAGGTGACATTTTCATTGGACCAAAAGCAGAGGTAAGGGAGCTGTATTGTGCTCCTCTGTCCTTGGGTAAGGCACCTGAAAGGGAAAACCTGTCCCCTCTCTTTGGTTCAAGCTTACCATCACTTGCCAGTCATATGGTTCTTCTGATAACAAGTTCAGGATTGGGACATCTTGCCTAGAATACCAGGTCACATTAGAAATATCTTGGAGTCTGAAGGACTTTAGTATATCTGAATGCCTTGTTTATGCATAACAGAGCTTGCATACCATGTGCACATGTTTGTTAAGCAATAGGGCACCTCTGATCTGTATCGTGCATCATTTCTGTTGCCAGTATAATTTACAATTCAGGCCCAGTAGCTGCTGTGAACTGGGGAACCTGTGGCCCTCTGGATGTTGTTTGACTACAACTCCAGCCATCCCTGACCATTGCTTATGCTGGCTGGGACTGATGGGAAATGGAGTCCAATAACATCTAGAGGGCCTCAGCTCTCTGAGTTCTGGGTAGGGTCTGGGAAATGGTTGTTAAGTCAGTCAAGATAACAGTTTGTGTTAAGATTAATCACTGAATATCTCTGCTTGCCAAAGTCCAGACCTCATCAAATCAGTGAAAAGTGAATACACTACTGGAGAAGAGCTGATTTCAGGACAAAGTTCCTGATCAGTCTAGCATGTGCCCTGTCACCACCTGACTCTTCCATGGTCCCTGATTTTGAACCGTGAACATTCAGAATGAAGGAAGGACAATGGCTACAGTAGCCATCTTCATATTTGTTTCTTTGTTTCTAAATAGAAGAATAGAGTTTCTCATTAACATTGCTTCCATACTGTCAATAACATATTCCCTCCTGCGCAAGAGGCGTGCTATTATTATTATTATTATTAAATGGTGCTGCTCAGTGGGGTTCCTGGAAAGTAGCTCCATTAAGAAATGAGCTACAAAGTTTCTGTGATGGACACAGCGGGTGATTCTTCTGGCCTTCCCTCTGACTAAGTGCCTTGTTTTGTTTTTTGCTTTTGCTTTGCCCAGGAGCACAGGGGCCTTCTTTCCATCCGCTACCCTATGGAGCACGGCATAGTGAAGGACTGGAATGACATGGAGCGCATTTGGCAATACGTGTACTCAAAGGACCAGCTCCAGACCTTCTCTGAAGAGGTGAGCTAACTCTATATGCACAAGTCCCAAGTGGCCAAACAAAGAGAGCCTCCCATATCTGGTTTGGTAGAAGTGCTTTGCACCCTTACTGCTTTCTGTACTTGGATTTTCCATTCTTTATCATCTATCCATATCTTAACTATCCTGCATACAGCTCCCTGTACTCACTAACTCAAGTATTTAAATATATATATATTGGGGATGTCAAGTTTACAGGGTTTTAAGATATGTTTGATGTCATGTGATTTCACTGAATTCTTAAAAATAGCTTTGTAAGCTATTGGATATTGGATGAATGGGTAGCAAACGAAATAAGGCAAAGTTCACTGAATCAAAACTTAATGGAGAAGAGCATTTGCCTGGCCATTTGCTTCAACTCAGGTTGTTTTTCCTGGTTCCCACTCTGCATTTCAAAGATTTCTGCTTGACTGGTAGTCCCCTTTCACACGGAGCACTTTGGAGCATGTTACAAGGGGTGGGGCAAACACCTCTAGAATAATAATAATAATAATAATAATAATAATAATAATAATTTATTATTTATACCCTGCCAATCTGGCTGAGTTTCTAGAATGGCAATTTCTTCAAGATCATTGTGAACCTGGCTAAAGTTCCCTTCTTTCAACCTATTGCAACTGGTGACAAATTCTTCCACTGCCGTATAAAGTCTTGGGGTTGCCTTTTCATTGCTTTGGGAGACCTGGAAACATCCATATGATCACTGGCGGAGCCCTACCCAGCCAAATCTTTTGTGTCCCCAACCACCAGCACCCCGTACTCCTGACGGAGGCTCCCTTGAACCCACGCAAGAACCGTGAAAGAGCAGCTGAAGTTTTCTTTGAAACCTTTAATGTGCCAGCCCTGTTCATCTCCATGCAAGCTGTGCTTAGCCTGTAAGTACTTTCCCCCCACCCCTTTTGCTTTCTTGGTTCTCTCCTTCATGGAAGAGAGGGCTATTAATGGCTACTAGCCAGGATGGCTATGCTCCACCTCTTTTGTTCATGCTCTGTTCCCTGGTTTCCCACAGGAATCTGGTTGGCCACTGCGATTATAGGATGCTGGATGGGCCATTGGCCTGATCCAGCAGGCTATTCTGACGTTCTTTGGAGGAGAAACAATTTTTTTGCAATGCAAAACAAGGGTTTGCATGGGGTCTGTTTTTCCCTTAAGAAAGCGGGCTGGCCGGGGTGACTAGCTTGTGTAATCGTGTGCATTTTTACTCAGCAGTGGGCCGCATTGTGTTCAGAAGGGCTTACTCTCAGCTAAGTGTGCACAGGGTTGCATCCTGGATCTTGTCAAAGATTACGTCTTGAGAAATGCTGGCTTCTTGACTAAATGAATACTCAGGTGTCTATTTGTGTTAGAATTTATCACCATTGTTTGTATTCTGTGTCAGTTCTAGTTTTGTTCTCCAGCCTATCACTTTTTCAGAGCGTAGCTGTATAGTATAAACTTTCTCCCTTTGTTGTCTGAGCCAATGAAGTATCACCATCAGTGTGTTTTTGTTTTTAAAGATAGCTCCTTAGTTCTAGAAAAGTCAGAATAAATTAAGTTGTCCTGGAGTAACAATTACCTTAGGAAATGGTGTTGGGGAGCCCCATTAGTTAATGTTGATTTCCGCAAATTCTGTTTTGTGTGTGTGTTCTGAAACATATTTCCTTTCTGCAGTTATGCGACAGGGCGAACTACAGGAGTGGTGCTGGACTCTGGGGATGGGGTCACCCACGCGGTTCCTATTTATGAAGGCTTTGCCATGCCCCATTCCATTATGCGGATTGACATAGCCGGCCGTGATGTCTCTCGTTTCCTTCGCCTTTATCTCCGGAAGGAAGGCTACGACTTCCACACGTCATCTGAATTTGAAATCGTCAAAACCATCAAAGAGGTGCCTGGGTGCCCTTAGTCTTCTGTGGGAACTGAGTGCTGTAGAATGGGATGGGGTGCCACACCTGGTGTATCTCACCGTATCCAGCAGGGTCTGTGTCGAGATTTCAGAAAGGCTTGGGAAGAGAGGGCTGCTGCAGTTGCAGATGCCTCCTGAAGCTGAACTTTGAGCTCCAGTGCAGAACTGCATTTTCCCTGCTCTTCAATGGCACCTTCCCTTAGCACTAGGTCCAACTCTCAGACAGAAAGGGAAGACCAATCTGTGTTCAGAAAAATGACATGATACATCCCTTCTGGGGCTATCTCTCTTCAGAACGTAACAAGTTCTGAACGCTCCTTCATGCCAGAAACCTTCTACAAACTAGCAATCCAAAAAAATGAACATAATCCTCTTGCTAGCTTTCGATGGTCAGAGAAGTCTTTTTAAAACCTACAAAAAGGGGAAGCTTACAAACATGACTTCTCCCCACCACCACTTTCTGAAGTGGTAGAGTTTTAGGAAGACTTCCGAACATGCCCATGTGCTGACATATATACATAGTGCAAACCCTTTCATAGTAGATGTCATTGAGAACAGTGTGTCCTATGCTTGGCATATTGTGGGAGACCACTGGTTAGCAATCTCATGTATAGAGTGCTATTGTGTCTGGGCCAAGAGTAATGTGAGTATTCTCGCCAGTGTTTGTGTCTAGTGTGTCTTTTAGAAGAATGTGCTTGACTGACCACCATTCTCTTCTTGTCTTTCTTCCACAGCGGGCCTGTTACCTGTCAATAAACCCACAGAAGGATGAGACATTAGAAACCGAGAAAGCTCAGTACTACCTTCCAGATGGAAGCACCATTGAGGTTTGTGCAGAGGCGGCCCTGTTGGAAGTCAGGTGTTGCTAAATAAGCCTCAGTTATTATTCTACAGATCAACAGACTGGTTAGGAATTGTGGCTGTTTTCTGCCTTTAGGCCTGTGGTGTTCAACACAGGAAGTAAGTCTTCCTGCGAAAATTTCTGGAGGAAGAAAAAGCTCCAGCCCAAGTGTTTCAAGTGTTATAATTGGACCCTGAGGCAGAGTATATTGGCATGTCCCTCCCCACCCAGCATTCTAGTTTTCTTGCCTTTGGTGGCTTTGTTCCTCCTCATTTGCTGTGTCAGTGGACACTGGTGAGGCTTAATGAATCCCCCTGGCTAATTGCGGGGAAGTTCCTTCTGTGGCACAATGGCTCAGTGCATCTGACGGTTAACCAGAAGGTATGTGGTTTGAGCCCATCCAGGGACAGCTGTGGGTGGGCAGGATTCCTAGGTGACCCTCAAAGTCCCTTCCAGCTCTATGATTCTATGAGTCTATGATTGTTAACATGGAGTGCAGGTGTGGTCTATTCTAAAACTCAACAAAGGTGTCAATATACCGTATTTTCCCCTCTATAACATGCAGATTTTTCTCCTAAAAAGGAAGGGGAAATGTTTGTGCGTGTTATTGAGCGAATGTGTGGTACCTGGAGCCGAATGGCAAAAATAATCAGGCAAAAATCAAATCGCGCGTCTCGGAGAAGGGAAACCTGAAAAGAGGAAGCGGCTGCTTTCCTGCATTCTGCCTCAGGGTCTTACTGCCCACCCTCCTCTGTTTCCTTGCTGTGTTTGCTCAAACGGAACAAAGAGCAGGGAAAGCCCCTCCCTCCAGGCAAGCAGAGGGGAAAGCAGAGTGTCGTTCCTTCCTCTCTGTGCTCCGGTGTTGCTGAAAGCATGCAGGAGGGAGAGAGAGAAAAAGAGAGAGCGCGCGAGCTGGCTGGCTTGGGTAGGTAGGTGGTGGAAAACTTTTGCCTTCCTTTTCTCCCTCCCGTTATATCCCTCTCCTGCATTCTTAGCCAACTGCTTCTCTGCACACCCCTCTCGTGCTCCTTGTCCCTTCTGTGTTTTTCCTTCCCTCCCCACTTAAAATGTGGTTACAAAGCATGGATCCACATGGATCCTCAGGATCTTTGCATTGGGTCAGCCCAAATTCACCATCAGAGCACATAGCATGTCCATGGCTACAGCCTGCCCCCCAAAAATCACGCACCCACTGTTGCCTGGGGCTGCAATGGTGCAAAAACGTGGTTACAAAGCATGGATCCACAGGGATTCTCAGGATTTTTGCATTGGGTCACCCCAAATTCACCATCAGATCACATGTCTGTGGCCACCGCATGAAGCACAAAAATGATACATCCACTGTTTCATTCAGAATGTTTTTTCCCTTGTTTTCCTCCTCTAAAAACGATGTGCGTGTTATGGTCAGGTGCGTGTTATAGAGCGAAAAATACGGTATAGTCTGTTAAGTTCCCTTCTTGTTGATTTCCTAGGCATCATATCTGAAAGAATCTACTTTTCTATCTGGGTCACTGTTGTTTTTGATTAAACTTGGAAAAAAACTTGTTTCTTAACTTGATGGAATCTAATATGACAACGTTTGAGATTTGGCTTTGATAAAACAGACTCTTCCTCCAATATATTTGTTTTTTAAAGTTGATAGACCAGCCCTGCAAAGCTACTAGTCAGTAACAATTTTTACCAGCTCACTTCCCTACAAATATGTATGTTAGTAATTGGTGGTGCCATCTTGCTAGGAATGTTTTCTTCACTGGAGAGCTTCCTTGAGTTTGTCTGCTCAAAAAGGCTGAGGTTATGACCTTTGGCTCTGAGCTTCTACATATATATCACTTCAGGCAGAGGGCCTTCTCAGTAGTGGCACCCGCCTATCTGACTTTTAGAAGACATCTGAAGGTAGCCCTGTTTCGGGAAGTTTTTAATGTTTAATGTTTTATTGTTTATTATTAGTATTCTGTTGGGAGCCGCCCAGAGTGGGAGGGGAAACCCAGCCAGTTGGGTGGGGTATAAATTATTATTATTATTATTATTATTATGAGAGCCAGTGTGGTGTAGTGGTTAAGAGCAGTAGATTCGTAATCTGGGGAACCGGGTTCGCGTCTCCGCTCCTCCACATGCAGCTGCTGGGTGACCTTGGGCCAGTCACACTTCTCTGAAGTCTCTCAGCCCCACTCACCTCACGGAGTGTTTGTTGTGGGGGAGGAAGGGAAAGGAGAATGTTAGCCGCTTTGAGACTCCTTCGGGTAGTGATAAAGCGGGGTATCAAATCCAAACTCCTCCTCCTCTTCTTCTTCTTCTTCTTCTTCTTCTTCTTCTTCTTCCTCACTATCAGCACATAAAGACTGCTTATATGGGAACAAGAAGGCCCACTCTCTCTTTTGTGCTGTTTGCAGATTGGCCCTGCCCGATTCCGAGCCCCTGAGTTGTTGTTCCGGCCAGATCTGATTGGGGAGGAGTGTGAGGGGCTGCACGAAGTCCTGGTTTTTGCCATTCAGAAGTCGGATATGGACTTGAGGCGGACGCTCTTCTCCAACATTGTCCTCTCTGGAGGCTCGACACTCTTCAAAGGTTCTTTCTGTTGGTTCTTTGCCTTTGGGGACATGCTCGGGCTTCTGAGCTTAACTTGAGACTCCTTTCTGTCCCTTCTTCCTTGAAGCTAGCAAGGCTTACATTAGCTTCCCAGGAGTGAGGACGGGCAGATGGAACTCCTTATGGTTCCTTTCCCTGGGGAAAGGAGAGTTCCAGAAAGATGCTGGTTTCAGCCCAGTTGGAGGAGAAGGGGCTTTATATGCAGACTGGATATCTGAAGAAATAGTGTCAATGGCTTCTCCTCATGTCTTCTATATAATACCAAAGTGACACCATTATTTTGCCCTGCTTGGATGGTTTGTTTCCTTCCATTGCATCATTTACCTTAGCTTTCTGGATTGACAACACCTTGCCATATAGTAAGCAATCACCCACTTTCTGGTTCTCTTTCCAGGTCAGTGTTTCTGTAGACCTGGAATCCTGAAGTATGCCCCAACTTGTTAAATATTTTCTTTAGTGAGGAGTATGGGCAAGAAATGGAGCACTGCACCATCCATAGTGGAGGCTGCAGGCTCCTTGTCATTACCAACTGGGTGGGAGGCAGGGAGAGAAGTGAAAAGATGGGGAGATTCCTCCATCACTACCAAGTCCCTAAATCAAGCACTTTGGGGATGCAGGGCCTCCATCGATTGCAGGGGAAAGAAGCCAGAATCTTAATCAGCTGCCTTGAAACTGAAGTTGACTTTTGTCTTTGGTTCAGGTTTTGGCGATAGGCTTCTGAGCGAAGTGAAGAAACTGGCCCCCAAGGATGTCAAAATCAGGGTAGGTTGTGTTTTCTCTAGGCTTTTGCCACTTTGAGGGTAACCCATGGTATTCTCAGTAGAACTGGGTCTCTGTGGAAGATGGGATTTGATCATCTCTATCTAGTGGGTGCATTAGTTGTTCAGTGTGAGCAGTTCCTCTGTTAATAGCCATCTGCAGGGTCCTCTTCTCACGTTTGTCTTTCCACACAGCCCATTTGCAGCAATGTTCGCAGTGGTATGGAGACAGCACTGGAATCACTGCTCTGTGCTTTTAACTCAAAGATACCCAGACACTTCCAAAAGCACTCATTCCATAGATTTAGCTGTCCATTGCAACAAAACTGGCAGAGTCATGTGATACCTGAAAGACCAGCATATTTATTGTGGCAAGCTTTTGGGAGCCAAAGTCGATTTTGACATATGCAAAATACCATGGCTTCCTCTGTGGCTTCTGCAGTCAAAATGCAACCCAGAAAGGCTGCAGAGAGGCTCTCTACCCTAGACTGCAGACCAGTTGGATGGAGCATAGCTGGGACTGATGGGAAGTGATGGCAAGAATATGCTAGGGAAGAACTTGGTGAGCTTAGATTGTGGAAAATACTGGCTCCAACTAAATCCACCTTTCTTTTATTTCTCAGATATCTGCTCCTCAAGAGAGATTATATTCCACATGGATTGGGTACGTACAGCATCAGTCCACTTGCTGCACTACGAAAGCTCTCACAAAATCAGGTGGAGGAAGAAATGACTTGCAGTCAGTGCAAAGGGAGAATCTGGCCTGTAGTCATATCCAGTGTAGTGTGGATGATTACATTTTTAATATTTATTGAATGCCTTCACCGTAAGGTCCCAGGGTGGGTTACCATAATAGAAAGAGACAAAATTAAAACCAGTTAAAAGTAATTTCCATTAGCTACAGCTAATTACTATAGTTGTAGAGTGATGTGGTGGCTGCTTTGGAGGAGGGTGAAACTGCACCACAACTTGAGGATGCTGCAGAGAAGATGAGAGATACCCTAGCAGGGCAGTCTGTGTGTTCTCCTAACAGGGATGGGGCAGGTTGCTGTTGCTGCTGTAGCAGTGCAGCATTCTTTATCGTGTCTGGCTTTGGGGAATCATTTCCAATTTCTTTGTCTTTTGATGAACTCTCACATGTCTTCTGTAACAAGATTTTGGGGCATCTTGTGGGGTGGCGAGTTGATTCGCCCAGAGCCCAGGAATCCATGGTGGCCTCAAGAACTGAATGCCACCTGGAATGTCCTCTGCATGTGCGCATGATATGAAAAGATGTAGGAGGGCCACCTCTTCTGGCATTAGCGTTGAGAAACCTCAAAAAAAAAACCCCGTCAGTTCTTCAGAGGACAGTTTGAATACTAGTAACTGTAGGAGAAAGAGAAAATAGCCACATGGCCAGCCGAGGCCTAGCTGACTTCCTTGTCTGGTCTTCCCCACAGAGGCTCCATCTTGGCTTCACTGGACACATTTAAGAAAATGTGGGTTTCGAAGAAAGAATATGAGGAAGATAGTTCCCGGGCAATCCATCGAAAAACCTTCTAGCCTGGCAGCATGCTGGGGTCTCCTTGGAGCGTCGTTCCTGTTCTCGGCTCACTTTCCTGAGTCAGTGTCTGAGGAGCTCCCCACTGGTGTGTATGTGTAAGGGTAGATGAGTGCCAGCATGCCCTGGACTTTCCCGAGGGAAGGGAAGGCTGGGGTTTCGGCTTGACTTTTGATTGGTTTTGCAGGGGGCAAGTGAGAAATTGGAATGAACCTGTGGGCAAGCTCTGTTTCCTTTTCAGCTGGCCCACAGACTTTGTTTTGGGGGTGGGGAGGGGAGTGCATTTGTGTCGCAGAAGATGGCAAGTATGGCTGTGGAGCTGAGCAACTTAGGATGAAAATGAGAGTGCGGCAAAGCGGCCAGTGCATAGGGCTCCCAGTGACTGGTGGAAGAACATGGGCCACGTTGAAGGTCCATCATGGAACTCTAGCACAGCAACTGACTGCGATCCAGTTCCTCTCAGTTGCTCAGCAGTCGTTTTTTAGATGGCCAGTTCATCGCCTCCCCCCTCTACTTTTAGAATTCTCTTGCACACAAAAGAGGATAAGCACATTCCAAGCTGTTACAAACCCATTTACGGCGGGTGTGTGTGTGTGTGTGTGTGTGAGAGAGAGAGAGAGAGAGAGAATCTGTAGTATGGTGTGTGAGAATCTGGACCACAACAGGATGGTTGGAGCAGTTAATTTTAGGAACTAGTTTGTAATGCATGGTGTAGAGCAGAAAGACCCTTCCCTTTTTACGCTAGACAGTCCTTGCATTGGCATCTGGTGATGAGACCGTTGTCTGTCATGCAGCCAAGTGCCCAGGGCCACTCTGCACTGTGGCCTCATTCTCTTTTCCTTCTGCCAAGCCCCTCCCCTGCCTCATGTGTGTTCTCACGGTTTACAGTGTTCATTCTTTCCGAAAGGCCGAGGCTTTATGCCCACGTCACAATCCCCGCACAAAGGGGCTATTCAGCCACGCTTGCTGGGAAGCCCCGTAATTGCTCTTAGAATTTATTTATTGAAAGCTTTTGGTGGTAACTGATCTACTAACTGGGCCCAACGTTAGTTTCCCCCATTTTTATCTGTCCTACTATCTACTACACGTCCTGTTTTAACATGTGCACCAGCACTGGGAATACCATACTTGCTTAGTAGCGTTGGGTCAGTCCTGCAACTATCCCCGCTCCTTAGAGTACCCTGTTACTTTTGGAGTGGCTGTTTCCATGAATGCACCGCAGGATGAAACAACAAACTCTGATAGAACACTAGGAGTTGAGTAAGAGGCCTCCAGAGGGAGGCTGTCATCCCAGAGTTAATAGTTAAGTCCTTTGACTGCTTCAGTACTGCTACAGAAATGGAATGGAAAAATCATCTGCTTTGAATCGAATTTTTTATTCTTTTTTTAAAATATACACATTTGGTGCTTCTTATTGGAAAGGGTTATTTTTGTTGTTTTAATGCTGCTGCTGAAAACCAAATATTTCACATTCTTGGCCACTTGTTAGAAGATGAGACAGCAGGAAACAATCATTTTGTCTCTCTGTAGGCAACTGTTGGAAGAGAAACTTCAATAGGAAGCGAGAGTGCAGGGACTCAAGAAATCCAAGGTGGAGGCAAAGTATTGTCCTGTTTGTTACCACTGATTGATTTTGAATGTGGACCCCTTGTGCTTTAGCTGCAAACTTCAGCTTTGCCCTTCAACTCATCAGCTTTCTCAGAAAATGTCATGAGGATTAGAATAGGCCATTTAGTTTGTTAGGAGCAGCCAGAGTCCCTTCAGTGCTCGAAGCTGCAGTTGTTGTCTGGCCTAAGGTAAGGGATGGGGACATCTCATAACCTCTCCTACACAATAGATAGGTAGTTAAAATGCAAATTTTGTGTATTATGCAACACACACACACACCCAGTGTTAAAAAATCTTCCAAATAAAAATGTGAGGTGATAACTGTGACAGTATAAGCTTTCCTTGTCCTTCAGTCCCTTCCTAAGACCTTAGGAAGAGTAGCTGAATTGGAAGTTTTAGGCTTCTCTATTAGGATAACAGGCTTACACTTGGAAAGAAAGTGGATGTATATCTGAGCTAAGCAAGAGCTGAGCCACATCTACCTTTCCTCCATTCTTTCCAGGACACCCTTCTTCTTCTTTTTGCACCAGTGCTTTCCCTGGGAAAACCTGCTCTTTAGCAACCTGAGTTTGTTTGCTCCGATTGAGCACTAAAGAGCAGGTTTCTGCAGGGAAAGCTACAGGGTAAAAACCCAAACAGCCAGACACAGAGCTTTTTAAGTTCAGACCTGTGCCTGGAAAGAGTGGGACAAAAGGCAAGTGTGGATAATCCCCAAGAGAAGTTGTAGCTGGTGTTTCAAAGACAGACATATGCTAATTAAAGGTGTTTCCCCTCCTGCACCTGCAAAGAGGATGTGCTTGGGCAGAGCAGTGCCATTGGTGGGTCCTGATTAGGATCTCAGCAGTATTCTCTTCTCTTTAGTTCCAAGTAACATGGCCCATAGGTGATGTATCATGAAGCTTCCCCAAGCAGGAGTGGACAAGACTGCACAGGCAGCAAATGCTGGGGCAATGTACATTTTTGCAGCACGTGAGGACATAGCCACTGAAAGCTAGCACAGAGCCATATTACAATATTACAGTGAATGATCTACTATAGGTTTTATCATCTCAGATGTCCCTCTTAAGACACATGCATGGCCAGGAGACCCCTCTCTCCCCCACTTAAAGCCAGGGCTGGGCACCTGCGGCCTTCCAGATGTTGCTGACCTTCCATCAGGCCCTGCCAGCATGGCCAAGGATTAAGGATAACGAGACTTGTCCAGTAACATCTGGAGGGCCAAAGGTTTTCCTTCTCTGCTTCAGACAGTAGCAGTTGTATTAATACATCTTCAATGAACCAAGCCCTGTAGGTTTTTCAATTGGAGTAAAATGACATTTCTCCTAGAATGAGCCTAGCAGCTAATGGTTTTGAATGGAGTCCAGATCCTGTTTTAATAAGCTACACCCGAATGTAAAGGTTTGTTGCATCCCTGAGTGAGGGGTTGTCCTGACTATTAGCTTCTCCACTGGCAAGATGTACATCCATTAGGGTAGCCCGAGATGTTTATGGGAGGGTCTACAAAATTTATAATCTTCTACCATAGGTAAAAGAGAAGGGCCCATATTTCTTGCCTTATACTAGAAGAATGTCATTGTGTTTGACCTGACTGATGTCTAAAATACCTGCATACTCAGTTCAGGCTCTTCTATAAAGGCATTGATTCTCACAGTTTCCACCAGGAGTAGAGCTTTTACCCCCCCCCCCAATAACTGTTTGAAAACATGTTTTGTGTTAATGAAATGTCTAATTTCAAATATAGGGAAACAGTAATAATGACAGCCAGTGCATGTCAGCTTCTACTGGTAGACGTGACAGAGCAACCCCTAGGTTAGTGTAATAGTCTGTTTCAGGCACTACATAGGGGAGGAGAGAGAATCCTAGAACTGTAGAGTTGGAAGGAACCCTGTGGGTCATAAGCCCCCTCCTCTCTGGTCCTTTGTGTTTTTTCCTTGTTTTTCCGCATCAGTTATCTGAAGCAGCAGTGTTACACAATGAACAAACTGACAGGTGCTTCCTACAATCTAGCATTGGTTCCATCAGGCTGACACTGTACTTTGCACAGATGTGTGAACCACTGCTGGGTGCCGCCCAATGTACTTAAATAAAGTTGTTAATATACAATGTGTAGTCTGCTTAAAGGGGTCGTAAAAGATCTGGAATATGAGCAAGTGCCATTCTCCTTACAGCTATGACAGCTTACTCAAGATCAAGGTTGTGAAGATGCTCCTTACAATAGGTACCAACATTTAGCTTACCTATTTGTTCAGAACAGACGTTCCCTAATTCTTCAGCTAATTACTTCTCCTTTAAACTAGAACCTTTATTTATGGGCTTAATATAGAATAAATTAGCACTGGAGCTCCAGGACTCAAAAGAGCAGTTTGGCTTAGAGTGCTAGTTCAAACAGCAAATGCAAGGAATAAGCCAACAAATTTTCCTCTAGTAATTCTCCATTCTAGCATGGATTTTGCACTTGTGCAGAGAACAGACCTGTCTGTAACATCCCATCTTCTCTGCACACTTGGTCACCATCTGCCTGGGAGGCAGAATCTTTTTTTCAGCTCAAAGGTTGTATTATCTCAGGGTCAGGTTTCAAGAGGCCACATGCCAGAGCAATTGGTGTGATTTCTTTTGTATATAGCAAGGTGCATTCCAGCCGTGAAAATGGCTCCCCAACCAAACGAGGCATTCTTGGAGGTGGGATAGAAACACAATAAATAAATAAAAAGCAGGTGCTTGCAGGAACAAGGATGCTCTACAAGCGGGTAAGGACATCCTACAAGCTGTGCTCAGTGGTATAGTTGAAGGCATGAGAATTTCTGGCTTGGCAAGGGGATAAACTCTTGTCACACCAGCTCTTTAAAAGAGCCCTCCATCTTGATTACCGTGTACATTCCCAAAACACCACACTACAAAAATAGCTTTAAAAAGAAAGACACTTTAATGAAATAAGTTTTGACGCACTTGGCTTGTTAAATTAGAGAAATAAATTACAATGTAGCCATCGAGTGATACAAAAGTGATACTGTAAACATTTTCTCATCATCATTGCTCTCACAAATTGAGAGAGGAAATGGCAATTACAGTGGCTGGCTGGGCTACCGCCTGTAGAAACTTGAGAACGCTTCCCCACCCCCTCCAAGTGCCACCTGCTTCGGCACACAAAGAGAAGGATGCAATTTGGTCCCAAGGAGATCTGGATTCTTCCGTTTTCTACGACGGCAGCCAAAAGGGTCTCAGACCAAGAGCAGAGGGATATTCCAGTGAAGGCAGCTATTGAACTCGGGGGTCACAGGCCTCTAACCCTGATTCACACAGCCAGCTGCCTTCCTCCTTCACTGCCTGACAAAGGCAGGAAGTGATTCTCAATCCCTCAGAGACCCAAGAAGATTCAGCTCTGGAATAACTTCAGGGAAGCCTGGCATTCCCCTAGCTTCCCTCAGAGGTGAGTCATCAGAAAAAAAGAGTTGTGGAAAGAGCAGAACAGCCCTGAGGAAATTCTGCTTGCCCTTCCTAGGCAATATGAGGAGTGAGGTACTTGCTACCTCTAGGAGCCTGAGGGAATAACTCAGGAAGTCTCTCCTCCCTGTCTTGGCCGTAATCTACAGTCTAGTAAATCTTTTTGTCATTAGATGATGGGCCACTTCCTGTGACTGATACTCTGCAGCCAAGCTTGGTTTTGCAACTGTCAACTCTCCTCCTCTTCAGAAAAGGCATCATTTCCCCCCTCAGCCATGTGCATAGAACCACTCTCCAAGGTCTTGTCCACTTCAGTCAATTCTGTAGGGACTAGTGTAGGTCCAAATTGCTTTGCTCATGAGGAGGAAAGGGAGGACGACGACTAGTACCTCAAGTATAAGCCCCAAAGGCAGAATTATCAAGTTGCCCTTGAAGATTCCTGTGCTGGTAAGTATAATAGCTACAATCTTAAAAAATATCTGGTCGCACAGAAAAACTAGGATGAGTGTCTCCTGACAAAGGAGGCTGGTCTTTCATCCAAGTGAAGGGATGGGGAAACTGTGCCCCCCCCCCAGATGATGCTTGACCACAGCTCCAATCATCCCTGACCACAGGCCATGCTGACCAGGGGGACAGGACTTGGGGAAATTTTAGAAATTCATTCTAAAACAGCTTGGAACAGCTTCATTCAAGGTTAAGCCCGTTGTGACGTCAAAACTTGGTGGCCAGGTATACCTCCAAGCTTCTGGTGACACAGCTCTCCATCCACCTCACAGACCCCCTGCTTTCAGCACAAATCCTGCCACCGCTGCCATAGTGTAAGAACAGGGTGCACTTGTTCTCTTGAAAAGGGTAAATTCCGAGAAGAAAGAGTGCTGTTTCCCCACAGAGTGAGCATGTGCTGTAAGTGGAGTACCCAGATGTCTTCTGGAAGGAATCAAGTCACATTTTGAAGAGATTCTGGCTTTCACAGTTAAACTATGCCCTGATAGGATGGGTGCAGGGAGCGAGGTATGCCAAACAAATCCAGTGCAGAGGAGAAGGATGAAGGTATCAACCCTACTCTCTAGCACCCAAATCAGAGCCAAGGCTCTATGTATGCAGTTCCCAAGAGGTTAGGATACAAGTACCAGGATACTCCTAGTTTACTCAATGTTTCCCCATCAACTTGTTAGTAATATACAGCATCTTTACCTGACTACTTAGCTTCCCAGCGACTTCCTCTGGAATGAATAAAAATAAACATGATCAGCAAGTCAATATTAAGAATTTTCTTTTTTAAGGCAAGGTGATGACTTTTTCTGGACCAACTTTGGCTGAAGATAGCAGATGCAAGCTTTTAACACTCTCATGACCTCTTCAAGGTGGAGCCTACACAGTCCTGCCTTGGGGGCGGGGGACACTCCAGGAGGTACCATATTTTTCACTCCATAAGACGCACCTTTTTCCTCCTAAAAAGTAAGGGGAAATGACTGTGCATCTTATGGAGCGAATGTGTGGTCCCTGGAGCCGAATTGCCCAGGGGCGAAAAGCAGATTGTGTTGAAAGGGAGTATTGAAAGGAAGCCGCTGAGCAGTTGATCGGCAAGCGATCGGGAGGGAGATAAGGCTGTGGGTAAAGGAGGCTGCCGGGGGAGGGGGGAGGTAAAGACAGCGAATTTGCAAGGAGAGGAGACAGGAATACTAAAACAAGCAATGAGGAGAGAAATTAGAAGAAAAGGAGCAGCAAAAAAGTGCTCCAGCTAAGGAAAAGATGCTAAGGCAAACAAGAGGGAAGGGGGAGTTGAAACGAAGCCGCTGAGCAGCTGATCGGCAAGCAATCAGGAGGGAGATAAGGGACGCTAGCAGTAAAGGAGGCTGCCTGGAAGGGGGGAGGTAAAAGCATGGATCCTCAGGCTTTTTGCATTGGGTCACCCCAAATTCACCATCAGATCACATATCATGTCTGTGGCTACAGCATGAACCACAACAATCATACATCTACTGTTTCGTTCAGAATATTTTTTTTCTTGTTTTCCTCCTCTAAAAACTAGGTGCGTCTTATGGTCAGGTGTGTCTTATGGAGCGAAAAATACGGCATGTTACGAAGCTTTGGTCAAAAAGGACTATCAGCCATACAGGCTGAAAGTCTATGGAAGTGCTTTAGCTGCAAACCAGAAACTTTGCTGGACGTGGTTACTGCCTGTGATACTGTGTTTTAAAATTTAGAACAATTACAACAAAATAAGAGAATCAGAGTTGTCAATGACAAAGGATCCCGTGGGACGGCGGCTGCGGCAGCCCCTAAAGTCAGCCCCTGCTCCTGCTGGTGCTGGCGGGGGTGAGAAGAACTGGGCCTCCAGGGACCCTAAGGCCCAAGTACAAAATTGTAAGGAGCAGAACCAGTGCCTAACTATTGAAAAGGAGCAGCAAAACACAGACAGACAGGAGGGGGAGGAGCTGAAGCTGCTGAAGGACAAGGCCTTGGCCCAGGAGCTCCAAGAAAAGGAGAACAAGCTGAAGGGAGTCAACAAGAAGCTGAGCAAGCAGATGAGGACCTGGCCAGCCACAAGAGGGAGGACAACCTAGAAGAGGAGCTAAAGAGTGTCAGGGCCCTCAACCGGCAGCTGCGTGAGGAGGCCAAGACCTCGGCCCAGAAGCTCCAAGAGAGCCAGGAGAGGGAGAAGCAGCTGGTGGAGCAGTTGTAGCTGCTGCAAGAGACCATCAAGAGCCAAAGCCAGAGAATATTGGAGCTGCAAGCCAAGGAGGATTTGGGAGACCAGAGAGGGCAACATCCATGTCTGCTGCCGTGTGCTGGAGAAAGAGGCATGGACCTGCCAAACGCAAGGAAGAGTGTTTAACTTTTGTATATTTATATACTTAAAGAAAATTGAGCAAGAAAAAAAAAAGAACCAAACCATTAGTAACTAGAAACCAAACCATATCAATACTGCCTGTGACCTTCATTAATTACAGTTGGCCTTACTGAATCAATTTCCTCCAAAAGTTTGGGTAAGGGGGTGCATTTTTAAGTGACGCTGAAAACCAGGTAACGGCGGCGCCAACTCAAAAGCTTCCACTCACCAACTTTAACCAAGAAGAGTATCAGTTGCTCTTTTTCTTCCACCCACGCCTTGTTGAGTTGATTCTGCAGGAGTCCAAAACGATCAGGGACATTTTCTGCTGATACACGGGAAAATTAAATGGTCTTGATTTCTTGGGACTGACTTTCCGTGAAAGTCTGGCGCTGAGCTTTCACTCTCTGGAGGTGCCTCCCATGCAGGGTGAATTGTGACCAGCTGAGGAGCTGCAGCAATGCACATGTGATGGGGACAAAAACAAGGAGGTAGAAGCAGCCCTGGCGCAGCGTCGGTTCCCAGGCTGTGTTGGAAGCCAACTTGGGCTGGGCACTCACGATATTGCTCAGGGCATCCCGCTGGAAAATGTCGTAACCTGGAACATAAATTGCTGAGTAAGCTGAAAGTGGACTTGTTGACATTATGAGTGTTGAGAGCGTCCAGTTTCGATCTAGCTATTGATCATGCAAAACAGACTCTGTGATTTCTACTTGAAACCTCTTCTTCATTTCTTCCCTCTATTACGCTAGCTGCAAATCCAGGCGTCTCCTTTCCATTCACTGGAAGCAGCAATCTTTGTGAACTTTCCTTGTTCAAGGCAGCACCTTTCCCCAAGAATGACGTTTTCTTGGCTGCTTAGGAGAGTTTGCTTGGAGGGAGGGCTCCATCCTTGAAACACGAGGTGGAAAGCCCCTCCCCTCCCACCACACTACCCTTGCCCTTGAAACTGTAGTCAAAGGCACCTAGAAAAGGTTCCGAAAAAGGCAGCCAACCATCAGGGGAATGGGGCAACTCCCCTATGAGGAAAAGTTGCATTGTTCATGGCTTTTTAATTTAGAGAAAAGGGAGTAAGAGGGGACATGGTAGAGGTGCCTGCAGAGTCGGTAGAGCATGAGACTCTGAACCTGAGGGTCATGGTTCGAGCTCCACGTTGGGCAAATGATTCCTGCATTACAGGGTTGGACTAGATGACTTTTGTGGTCCCTTCCAACTCTACAATTCTATGATTCTGTGAAAAGGATGCATGGTGTGGAGAAAGTGGACACAGAAAGGTTTTTCTCCCACCTTGAACTCTGGACCATCCAACAGAGCTAAATATTGGAAGATTCAGGACAAAGGAAATACCTCTTCACAGTCAAAATGTGGAATTTGCTTCCACAGGAGACAATGATGGCCACCAACTTGGATGGCTTTAAAAGAGAATGAGATCAATAGCTGCTAGCCATGATGGTTAGGTTCAACTCTGAGTGCCATTTGCTGGGAATCACAAGCGGGAAGAGCGCTGTTCTGCCCAGGCTTCCCACGGGCACCTGGCTGGCCACTGAGAGAGCAGAAAGCTGGACTAGATGGGCCTTTGGCTCTTTTTATGTACTGAGGAACTAGGATCTGTGCACAACTAAGCACCCTAGCCTGCAGCTTCAAGGAGCAAGCTCACTAGGCACTCCCCTAGAGACAGAGCAAATACTGAACATTCCACTGGGGAGAGACAGTCTTCCTTAATGGTAAGTTCATGTTCCAGCAACTGAACCCTGAGCAGGGACACAACATGTCAGGATGGGGTACAGATTGTACAAGCTACACCCAAGAAATATCCTGCGGGGGTGGGGAGTCCCAAATGAATATCCTCGCCTATATTATTAACAATTATCCTCCACTCTGAGGTCAGAGAAACCATCAATTGTTGTCATCTCAATTCCCATTCCACCACCCAGACCATCACCTACCTGTATAAGCACACAGGAGCCAGGTGCCAATCAAGGGGGCAAAGGTCTGGCCTGGTTTGGTTACCAAGGCAACCATGCCAAACAAGAGGGCCGAGGCAGCCTGCTGCCTTCGATTCAGCACCAAGTCTTCATCTACCAGGTCGGTGACCACCAAGTTGAGCAGCTTACAGGTCCCTTCCGTGAACACGCGGTTGCTGGGGAGAAGAGAAGAACAGGAAGGTTAACAACAGACATGGGCACTGTGGACCCTGAAAGGGTTGCAGATAATCAAAATATATACAGAAGAACCAGAAAAACTTACTACTGTATTTACATGCTTGCGGGTACAACCTACAAGGAGGTAGTAAAAACAAATGGGAAAAGGTCCTGCCTTGGATCACATGGGTTTTCACCACAAGCAACCCTTAGCTAGATTAGCACATTTTTTAAAAGTCCGTTCCCCAAATTCATGAAAGCTGGATTTTTATTTAAAAAACAGCAAACATTGAGTTTTTCAGGATCTTAAGTTCCCATGTGCTAACTAACACAGGCATCCCCATACTTGGCCCTCCAGATGTTCTGGGACTACAATTCCCACCATCCCTGACCACTGGTCCTGTTAGCTAGGGATGATGGGAGTTGTAGCCTCAAAACATCTAGAGGGCTGAGTTTGGGGATGCCTGAACTAACACCTCACCCTGTCTGAAGATAAAGGACTCACCTGTTGCCTCTCTGGATGATTCTGAGAATGCCCATATTCTCAGCAGATATAAAACGCTGAGCACACAGCCAAGAATTCAGAGTTCAGCAGTAGCAGCAAATGTGGTACCCAACCCCGGATGTTGATGGGCTATAATTTTTAAAAAATCTTTATTTATCTAGATTGTTTCATAGTAGAAAGCTATCAAGGCGGAGTACAGAACACATAAAAATGTGTTCCGAAAACGACAATTCTCACCATCCCTGACCATTGGGCCTTTATGGTTGGGTTTGATGGGAGATATGGACCAAGAACATCTGGAGGGTATTGGCTACTCCTGTCTAGAGTCTAGCTTTGGCTCTATGACTCATAATGCTTAATCAACTACCCCCAATGCCATGGACATGGCCTGTTGTTCACACCCAGGCCAGTTCCCCAGGGCCTTAGCAGGAGAGTGGGGTACCTGGCTATGAAGAAGCAGAGCAGGTAGATCCAATCTGGTCCAGCAAGGAGCATAATCACACCGAGCAACAGCTTCAGGAAGAAGAGCCCTCGCACCACTGCATATACCCCCCACCTCTGGCAGAGAGACAGGAAGTAGAGGTTGTTGAGATGAGGAGCCACGTAGGAAACTCCTAAGGAGAAAAACCAAATGGGTTCAAAGAGAGCAAGCATTCAGCTATGGCTCATTATTGTCATAAGGAACAAATGAGGTTTCAATGCATGCAACCAGCAATAAACAAACCTGCATTCTGTTGGAAACAATAAAATTACATTTGAGACCATCTGTCTAGCCCAGCCTTCAAAAACCTTGTGCCCTCATTCTTTTGGACTGCAGCTCCCAGTCAGCCAAGGCTGATCTAGTCTCGCACAAGGAGTAAAATAGCCCTGGTTAACATTGCTTAAGATTTCTCTAACCAACACACTAGAGGCAGATCTAGCAACAAGTTTTCATCCTTCTTTCACAGCAGCTGCATTTGTCTGAATTTGGAGAAATCCTCCCCCATCCAAATCCCCACCAGTTTTCTAGGTAGATCTCTCTAGTCCATTTCTAGAAATCAAGCCTCCACCCCTCCTACTCCCAACCTTGGACTCACCAAGCAGAAATGATCCCATGGAGAGTGAGATACGATCAGACAGCAGGTGCTCCAGGAAGAGGGGGAAAAAGTTGCTGTTAAAATGGCAGTGAAAAACCTGCAAAAGAAGACATTTGTGAGACCTCTAAAAATGGCAATTAGAACAGTACTTAATGTATCAAGCCATAAAACAGGAATTTTCATTCCAACCACACACAAACATGCCATGTGGGGAGGTAAATGGAGGTGTTGTGCCAAGACGCTCAGAGTGCACAAACAATCTCTAGCAGGAGCACAGGAAGAGAATAAACTATGACACAGGGAGGCAGTGGGGGGATGGGAATGCTCTCTCGTGGGCTCTGCTTTGACATCACACTCTCTCAAAATTACCCTGAAAGGCTGTGCTCCAATCATTTAAGGTGCAGAAGCAGCTGATTTCCCCTCATCCCATTTGTGCCACACCATAGGATGGCTGTATCTACATCAGCATCTGCCTGGAGGCAAGAGGAGGGCTGATGCCAATAGCCTTCTGGACTGTCCTCATGCAACCAAGCGACAGTGATGAGGGGTGAAGAGAGAGCCTTTGTTTGCCCCTGTGCTATAGCCATTGAAAGGCTGGCTCCAGCTCTGTTCCTCAAACAGAAGGCCTTGATTTGCTGTGGGAGAGGGAAGGATTTTCCTGAGAACACAGATTCTTATCACAGACACGCAGCATGCAAGCCCTTCTTTGGGCCTATGCAGGAAATCAAAGGCAATTTTGATAAAGCTTCATGTCCTGTGCATCAACTGCAGACTGACCTGTGAAATTCATTCTACAAAAATCCAGATCAGTGTCACATTCTAATCCACACCTCGCCAAATATTTATCGACTACAATAGGCAGGAGGTTGGCCTCAGGAGCAAGACAGATTTATTCTGTCATGCGGGGAGGCCACCTGGACTCTGATAGGTGGGCCCATGCTACACCTACCTGGATCAGGTTCATAGAGACAAACCAGAAGAAAGTTGCGGTGTCGGGAGAGCTGCTTGAGGTACTCAGCCAGAGTGATTCTCTTCTCTTGTTGCAACAGATGGATGGTCAATATACAGTCCTGGAGGAACAACATGGACACATTTCAGTCAGTATCAAGTGATGGATAAGGTGCCAAGTTTCAAATTTGTATTCGGTCACAGACTTCACCTGGTTGAGCATGTCGCTTTTGCAGTCTTACAGAGCTTTTGAAAAGATAATACAGGATAGTCCCAAGGCAGTCACAAATGAGCTCCTTAAAATGGCAGAATGCAAATGACTCAATATGTTATTGCGCAGTCAATTTAGATTCTGTAACAATAACAACCATCACACTGTGTTCTTAATGTTCTTACCAGAGAAGTCTGCCTTTGTCTTTTTCATAGAATGTGTTTTGAACTAGTTTAACATAATCAAAAGGCAAATAAAAAATACAATTTATGCTTTGATTTTAAAAATGGCTAGGATAAACTACTAGGGGTTAACTAGTATCACTGAATTAACTCGAGCACAGAAAGCCAGAACCATATTTTTTTACAGAGAAACATTGGAAATCATTTTGACAGACTGTTCAATACAGTATTTTGCCCCCAGTTTTTTGCTTACCAGCATTTGACATTCAGTGGTGAGATCTATACACACTGTGGATACTAATATCTCTTTCATCCTTCTCTATCTCAGAATATCAGAAAGCTAACACTTTCATAGAAAGGGAGGCAGAGCAAGGGCAAAGACTGGCCACTCAGCTATCACTAAATATATTTAATCATATGAGGTACAGTAGACCACCTGGGCCTTAGCAGTGCTTTTTCCCCCTTGAAAAAATGTTTAGGGGTACTCTCATTTTGACCTCAAGAAAATCAACCATTTTATAGTTCAAATCAGGAAAAATTAAAAATACAGTAAATGGACAAAAGTACAAAGATTCATCAAATGTTTAGGGGTATGCATACCCCAGAAAAAAGCACTGATTATATGTTTTGTTTATCCTGCCTTTCTTAAAAGCAAAACACTTTGCAAAATACACACAGAGGGAGAGAGATTTTGAAAGCCACAATTTTCAAAAAGACAACAAGACCACGGCTAGTACTAAAGTAGGCCACTGCTCCTAACCATTGATAGAGGAAAGGAAACAAGAAGCAAGGTATCTCCAGAAGACAGGTCTTACTGTGCACCCACTTGCCAGCTAGACCCTACTGCTTATGCCAGCTAGTCACATACCAGAGAGTCAAGTGTAAAATCCCATTAGCCCAGGTACTGAAAGCCATGGTCACATGTAGGTAGTTAATTCCACTGTGTTAAAGCTTTCCATCACACTAGGAAGGCATGGCTTCCTTGCCCCTCCCATCGAACCATGGATCAAGAAGCCCAAATGCATGCTTTATTTTTTAACCAAACTGCACACATATTACTTACAAATCACTCTCCCTGAACTTGGGAATGTTTGTGCCTGCTGTTTCAAAGAACCTTGCAGCGTATTAAAGTGTCCGCTGTTGGCCTACAAGCAATACACTATGCTCATTGGACATCATATTTAAAAGAGGGTGCCACTCACTCTTTCAAAGCTGCATTTTCATCCCACTTCACGTGACCCTCAGTCTGAAACCTCTGCCTCAGGAGCCATGTGGCCAGGGTAAAACCAACTGCCGAGCCGAAAGCCAGCACCACGCAAAATATCCGGAAGGAGAAGAAGTCCTCCTTGTTCCACACAGCATAGGACATGAAGACAGAGAGAGAGAGCCAATGGCACTGAAGAGTGAGGAGTAGAAATTGAGGCCGGTCCTGTCCTTTGCGGACACAGCGAAGTGTCAGCGGAGCAAAGCGTTCTGGTTGAGATCCACCATGGTGAGGAAGCTGTCGTACAGGCAGAGCAGATGAGGAACTGCCAGGCCTCGGGTGGCCCAGGCAATCCAGGAAAAGCCAGGAATGAACCATAGCAAAGAGGGGGCCATTGCGGGCTACAGGGCCCTTGAGTCTCTTTCAAAACCACTTCCGGGAGTGGGAAATCGCCACTCCAGAAACCGTACAAAGAGAAGAAAGCACTTGGCCCATGACAACTGGTTGGGCCTCCTCCCCAACAACTATTAAAGATTACATAGTTTGTTTTCCTCCTCTCCAACTTTTGTGTTATCCGCCCACCTCGCCTTTCTGCTATCCTCTTTCATCACTGTTTAGCACTCTGCTTCCTGCTTTGTTTTGATTGTCTAAGTTTGTACCCCATTAAACCAGTGTGTGTGTGTGTGTGTGTGTGTGTGTGTGTGTGTGTGTAGTTTTCTCAAAACCATTCTAGCAAGACAATTTGCTTTGTCACTCTGGACACTGGTCCACCTTCCCTCCATTGTCATCACACATGCATATATATCACAAACTCATCCTTTAGGTGTGGACCTTCATATAGCAACAGTACCATCTACCCACAGGAATGAGGCATCAGCAGGCTTGGAATAATCCAAAGTTTTGCAAAAGTGAAAAACCCCCACAACGTAAGGGGATAAGGACACAAAACAGCTCAATATGGACTGAACATGCTCAAGGGCCACAGTGTACAGTCTGTCTGCTGTAGAAAACCAGAAAACGGGAGAGGAGGGGAGAGAAACGGCAGTTCCTTAAAAAGAGCATGACTGGCTGGAAGCTTAGACTCCACTGCAGTGTACTGTTGTAGGTCCCACTTTTGTTGTTTATAATGCTCACACTGCACCATTGTGCACACAGGAAACGGCCCTTAAACTGACTCATACCATTGGTCTACCCAACTCAGTGTTGTTTGCCCTGACTGGCAGGGGCTCTCCAGGGTTTCTGACCAGGGTCTCTCCCAGTTCTTCCTAGAGATGCCAGGGATTGAAAATGGAAGCTTCTGAATGCTGGCCCTTCCTCAAAGAAGCTAAACCTGGATAATTCACCACCACAGTGTGCAAATTCATCATTCAGAGAAATAAAAACACGTATCCACCATTTCCAAGAAGAGGAAAAGGATATAACTCATTATTGGTACCAGACAAGGAGGGAGGGGGGACGAGATGAAAGGCAACCAGACTGCTAGTCAAAACGAGGCCCACATGTACAACTGAATGGGTTGAAAGTTGTGAGAGTTGCCTCCAGAGAAATATGCTTGTTAAAAGAAACGAATCATTTAAACATGTTCTTCCAGTGGTCTCCTTGACCCTTCATAGCAATTCAGAACTCTTTAATATTCAATGCAGACAGCTCTACTTACTGTTGCGTGCTAAGGAAAGCCCGATCGCTCAGCCAGCCAAAGAGAGGATCGTTGAGGCTGTTCCAAATCAGAAACACCGTCTGGAGGAAAAAGCACAGAATACCCAGTGAGACAGCCTGAGGTTAAAACCACTTCAACATCCAATCCTCCTGCTGTAGACATAATTATTATTTTAGTAGTTAACAATGTCCAGCTTAAAGACTTCTGCAAGCAATAACGGAAGTGGTCACCGATACGCAACAGCTTTTCTATGCCAGTGCTCTCCAGATCAAATACTGCCCTTGTGAATGGTCACTTTGTTGATTTTAAGTTTGACGTAGAATCGCCACCACTTTTGCACTTCGTTGCCATTTAATCTCGCTATTTACCACTGTTTCAGATAGAGACAACTGCCAACTGAGGATGAACAGTTTAGGAACCTTATTCACAAAAGCTGTGCCATAAAATACACAGTATTATTAGCCTTTAAGATGCCACGAGCCTCTTTGTTGTTTCAGAACCCAGTTATCTAGCTCTTACAAAGCAGGGAGGAAATGTAAGTTGTTAAAAAGTTCAAAACTCACCTCTCCAACCCAGAAGGAGAGTTTATCAATCTTATATACAGAAACAAAGGTGTCCACGTAGTAGAGGAGGAAGACGTTGTGCAAAATGGAAATGAAGAGGGACAGAGACCCGTAGACCACCGCAACAGGCAGGTTGAAGAGGCAAGCCAACAGCCTGAACCCCATGGTGGCTCACTCAGAGTCCTTGGGCTGCCCACATCACCTCCAGTTCCAATAGGGTCTCTCCTCCAGCACCTACTAGTTCTTGGATGGAGCCGAACCATCATTACCCCTGCCAGAGAGACAACAAAATTGTGCAGTTCAGTTTCTTAGATTCAGCGCATTTCCTCTCCCTGACCCACCTACCATCACCAAAAGAACCAGGTCCATTTAGCTTGGGGCAAAATAATAATAAAAAATAATCCAGCTGCAGGCAGTTTTTGCTCTCTGGTTCAAAAGGAGATTTCTAATAGGATTTAAAGGCTAAGGCTGTCTTACAGTAGCAAAGAAGGTTTGCTAAGCCAGGGCATCAGCTGGCTGCAGCCTTCAGAGCCGAGGGAGACAGAGGAGGGCCTACTGTGCTTTTATACGCTGCCTATAATGCTCTTCATTGTCTGCTTGAGACCCAGATTAGCTTGTATCCATAGCTTCAGGTGAGAGTGTAGAGGTGAGGAATAGCTAGAAGACCTGCATGGAGACACCAGCTGCAGAAAACGGAGCTGTCTCCTAGGTTCCATGAACAGCTCAAAAACAAGGCCATCACCAAGGCCAAAAGTTGCCTACATTTACAGCTTTAGTGGGCAGAAGATAAGTCTCACCTGTGTGCCTTCCATTATAGTAGAGTTAAAAGCAGCTGTTGTGTGTCAAAGGCAATGGGAGGAGGAGAGCAAAGGGCAGGGAACAAATCTAAGGGATGAAGTGACCAATATCCAACAATAATCATACTGAGAGTAAATTCAATGAAATCAATTTGCTTAGGTCCATTATTTCAGTAGGCCTACTCTGAATAACAATAAGCTCTTAATTGGGTTCCATCTCACTCTGTGTTTTGCTTCCAATAGTATCTACAATAGTGTTCTGTTGACTGAATAAATAGCAAGTACTGTATCAAACTTCATGAGCAAGGCATGATGGCAACAGTGACCCTTTGCCATTCCTTCCTCTACATCTGAACACTGTGGTTCTGTTTAGCCATCCTATCTAACAGCTGCTGAATGACTCGCTCAAAAGTAACATATCTATAGCATGCATATCTCTATAGACCAGCCCCATCACTACTGTGTTTTCTGCTGTAATCCCACATTTTAAAGCCACAATGTTTGAGGTGCTAAGTTGTTTAGAGCATCCAGTGGATTGCACCTGAATCAACAGCTCTCACACCCCATTTGTTCTCAGAGCACAACTGGTTTCATTTGCCCAGCTGAGGGCTACCCCATCTGTTCCATTTGAGGATAGCCACTGATCCATCATGGTTAATGGAATCACACGTGGGCTCCTGTAGCCCACTCCCAAAACACAGTGTGGGAGTAAAACCACACCATTATTTGAAACTGATCATAATACAAGAACTTGGGGCCATTCAAGGAAGCTGAAGTTTGAAAGACTTGGGATAAATGGAAGTACTTCTTCACAGTGCACATAGTTAAACTTAAGAAATTTTCTACCACAAGATGTAAAAAAGATAAAACAAATTCATGGAGAATAAGGCTATCAATGAATACTATCCCATGATGGCTGTACAGTCATACCTTGGAAGTCAAATGGAATCTGTTGCAGAAGTCCGTTCGACTTCCAAAACATTCGGAAACCAAAGCACAACTCCTGCAGCCAAAAAAAGTTCAAAAACCGGAACACTCACTTCCGGGTTTCGATCGTTCGGGAACTGAAATGTATGAGTACCAAGGCGTGCGACAACCAAGGTACGACTGTATATTATTTCCTGTACTGGCTGCGATGTGCCTCTGAATACCAGTTTTTCAGAATCACAACTGCGGAGAGTGTTGCACAGGCATCTGCCTGCCTATGTAATAACAGGAAGGGAATGGGGAAGAGGAGCAATCCATGCACTGCTTATTGAATTGCAAGGCAACAATGCGTACAGGTTTAGCTTGCCCTGGACACTGTTTTAACTTGCCCCAGATGAGTGGTTATCGTCAAGTGCTCTTTCAGCAGCACATCACTACTTAAAATGAATTAAAAATAAATAATTGCACTACAATACCTTGCAGAGATGACACAAGCAGGGATGAACTCTTGCAGCAGTGGCACATTGGTTCAGTCACTGCCTTAACTTGAAGGCATTAGTAGGTAACATCACTAAAAATGAAACACATACATCCTTGCACTGAGTGGCACATTGGGTATTTAGAAGTGGGCTCAGTTAATCTTAGAAACATTTACTCAGATTTATATTTTAGCAATGTGGCTTGAACAAGATGATTAAAATTAGTTCAAATTAGTTCAAATTAGTTCAAAAATTAGTTAAATTCAGAGTTAGGGCCCAATACGTTATTAATGTAAAATAAGGGAAATAAGTATCAGGGTATCTTTCTAGAGCTAGTTAGCCTGAAAATGAAACTAGGAAGTTTCGCTTCTTTTTCAGCCACATCAGCTGACGTGTTTCAGCAACATGCAACCACGTCCTCATACAAGAAAGTAGAGTCATAGCTTTGACTAATATTGTAGGCAGCCTTTTCTGTCTATGCACCCATTAGTCAAAATGTTGCCGAGACATTACTGAGAATCAAACTATGCTTCCCCACATCTAAACGGCAGATGCTTAGCAGCTTGAGCTAGAAAACTGTGCTGCCAGAGATTTGTGGACCTTGTGCTCAAAGAAAGCACATAACACAGTTTGAACACTTAAAAATCAAGCCTCTGCTGGAAACTGAATGGGGTGGAAAGCATTTACAAGCAAAGATCAGACTGACGTACCTAAGTTTTACTGATAGTTGATTTTTCTCATTGTCTGTTCTAGGCTGTTTTAAGTTCCTTGGAGGCAGGGAAATGTCTATTTTTACATCTATAACTCTCTAAGGCACCATGAGCAATGATGGCACCATATCAATCAAAATGCCTTGGCTATGTTCTCAGCCAGGGTCCCTATATTGTGTCTAGTTGGGAGGGGTGGGCTCTAAAACACAGAAAGTAATAGCAAAACGAAAGATTCAGTTGCATTTTAGACTGAGGCAGAAAATAGCCTGAAAAGGTAACATGGGTTTCGCCACAATGCCTCTTTCAACATACTGGAAATTACACCTCGAGCTGCCAGGTGAGAAGAGCTTTGTGGGGAGAAGGTTTTGCCCAAGTCGTTAAATACAACCAAGCCCCAGCCCCTCTCCCACATCCAGGAGCATAAAGAGGACATCTACACACACCTCTTACGACACCTTACAATCGGACTGCTGAAGCAGCTTTTGGTGGGCTTTGTAAATCCACTTCCAGCCTTCATCTGGGTTACAAACGGGGAGTGGGAAAGGCATGATTCAACCGAAAGGCAGATGGGCAAGAGGCCAGGGAGGGGAGCGCACGCCTTCCTCGCAGGGTCGGTGCAGAAACTCCTGTAAGCGCAGGAGATCCTGGCCAACTCATCACCCACCTAACTAACCGCCCACCGGGAGGTAAATCGTGCTTACGCGTCAACCCCAACGTAGCTCTATGGAGCAGGCAATTAAGGCAGAATGAATGGGGAGACACCATTCTGCAGTCGGGCGGGGGGTGGGTGGGAAGAGGAGAATCCTGACAAAGCTCTTTCGCAGGCAGATCATTACAAACAGGAAAATAATAGAGAGCCCACCTTCTTCTACCCCCCGATTGTACCTGTACCTTCGGCCCAGATTCGCCTTCTTCCTTATCAAACTTGCGCAGTCGTACTTCATTTCCCACTAACCCGCCCTCTTTTACACGGCGTCAAGCGACTCCTGCGCGGCGGCCATTTTTGACACTGAAGGAATGCTCCTTTGGACGCCATCTTTGATGCGGGCGCGACGGACAACGGCCGTTCAGCCAGGGGCCAATAGCAGGGAGGTGGTGTTTTGCCGCTCCAGTGGGCGGGGAGAGAGAGAGAGGGGCTTCTGATTCTGCGAAGAGTGGCTCCTAGATTTGGGTAGAAGTCCTGAGATTTATATTCTCCCCAGTTTTAAAAAATTAAATCTTAAAACCCATTTTTAAATTAAAGTCCATTTATTTCCTTTTTAAAAACTTTACATTTTGTTATTCAGTTTATAGTCTCATCGACATAGTTCTTCAAAACAATAGATTTTTTATCAACTTTTTTTTAAAGGTGAGGGCATTATTACATTATATATACACACACACACACACACACACACACACTTAATTATAGGCTTTAATGCAGCAAAAGGTATTTCTATGTAGTAAAACAAGTGCATACTCTGATTTGACAAAATATGTTACTTTTCTCCAGACTATAGTGATTTGTCTCCAAAAAGACTCCGAAAATGTACTGGGGGAGAAATGTCCATTTAAAACATTTTCAAAACTTATAAAATCGCAATAAATTCAACAAACTCCAACTTCAGCTATATATTATTACCAACATATTGATGTTTTCAATGGAATTTGGACTGCTCTTTCTGTTTTTGAGTTTCTACTGGCTCCTCCTGGTTTGATTTATTCATTCTGGCTGCTGTGATGTTTATTATGATTATGTTTTCTTGTAGCTAGCTGTTAACTGTCTTGAAACACTGTAAAAAGGTAGGAAACAAATCTATAAATAAAACATTCAAGCCTTAATGAGCTTGTTGAATGTTGCCTGTAATATTTTTCACAAATAAAATGTGTTATCGAGGCAGAATTCAGAACTGTAATCTTGAACCACATGAGGATATGTGGAATTAAATGTTATTTAACGTTGCAAACCTAACTCCACTTACCTGGGAGTAAGTTCCATTGAATTCAGTTGGACTTAATTCTGAATAGACATGATTAGAGTGCACTGTAAAGCAGTGTGATTGTGTGCCTCAAAACCAATAGTCTGGAAATATGGGAGACAATGGTAAAGGAAATAACAGTGGTCAAAAAATCATTTGGTGTGTTTATTTGGTCTTCCTGAGAACTCAGAACCATGTATGAGTCAGAGGATGGTGGTTATTCACAGTTCCATGAATATTATTTTATTTTGCCTTCCCTATTGTTACTAATAAATGACTCACATGTTCCACTTGCCCAGGGAGAGCTATCATACAGCTATTTGTTTAGAACAGGGGTCAGCAAACTTTTTCAGCAGGGGGCCGGTCCACTGTCCCATAGTCCTTGGGAGGGGGCCGGACTATATTGGGGGGGGGGGGAATGAACGAATTCCTATGCGCCACAAATAACCCAGAGATGCATTTTAAATAAAAGCACACATTCTACTCATGTAAAAACACGCTGATTCCCAGACTGTCTGTGGGCCAGATTTAGAAGGTGATTGGGCCGGATGCGACCCCCAGGCTTTAGTTTGCCTACCCATGGTTTAGAGGTAAGGAAGAAGGCAGAGCTGTTTAGTAGCTATCAGTGTATCTGAAATAGCACACACACAATGGAGTAACAGAGGGTCTGATAACTCTGCCAGAGTTTTCACCAACCTCATGCATATGGCTTAACAAATGCTTCTGTACCCTTTCAATATAAGGGTATATCTGTCAGGCTCCTAATGTCAGCCTGATTTATGGACAGTCCTGCTGGACCCCTCTAGTCCAGCATCCTGTCCTCACAGTGACCAACCAGATGCCTATGGGACACACTGCCTATGGAGATCAGACAGGCTCCTTTACTCCTTTCAGCAGCTGCTAAAAACATTTTCATTTAGACAAGCCTACCAATATATTTAGAGTGCTGGTATGTTTTTAGTTTATTGCTTGTTTCAATTTGTTGAAAGTTTTACTTGTTTTTACCAAGATGTATATTGTTTTATTCTTTTTGTAAACCACTTGGAGGTTTTCTAACATCAAGCAGTACATCCATTTTATGAAACAAATAAAACAAAAATAAATCCACAAGCAGGATGTGGGTGCTACAGCACTCTCCCTACTTGTGATTTCCAAGCAAACGGTATTCAGAGATATATTGCCTCCAATACTACAGGTACTATACAGCCATCATGGCTTGCAGCCTTATCTTCCCTTGACTTGTCTAAACTCCTCTTGTAATCATCCAAGCTGGTGGCCATTACTACATCTTGTGATGGCAAATTCCATTGTTTAACTATGTGTTGATTAAATATTTTATTTTGTCTACGGTACAATTCTAACTATGTCTACTCAGAAGTACGCTTCATTGGATGGTGTGGAGTTCTAGTGTTATGAGAGAGGCCTAGTCACTTTCTTCATACATAATTTTGCATACATGTTTCCCTTTACCTTTCTGCCAATCCCCAAAGGCCCAAATGTTGTAACTTTTCCTCATAGGGAAGTTGCTAAAGCTCCTTGATAATTTTGCCAGCCATTTTCTGAATATTTTCCAGCTCTACAATAACTTTTTTTGAGGTGCACCAATTAGAAATGTACACAGTATTCCAAGTACATTCACATCATTATGTAAATAGCATTATGATACTGGCATTTTCACAGCTGCCATACTCTGGGTCACATTTTTATCAAGCTATCCACTTTACCCCCAAAGTCACTTTCCTGGTCAGTCACTGCCAGTTCAGGCCTAATCTGTTTATGTAAAATTAGGTGGTGCTTTTTTTTTTTTTTTACCCCATTGTGCATCACTTTTCACTTGCTGACACTGGATTGCAT